TCTAGGGATATTTCATTATAACTTTTCTTTCTTTAAAAACTTGCTGACCTCTCTGCTGTGTTCCTTGGTTTGTATTATGCTGTTTATTCAATATTGTTGCATGGCAAACCTATAAGGCCTCCCATCTAAGTCACTATTTACCAATTTGTGGCCTTCTACATTTATATTTGAATTATTTTGAGTTATCAGCTTTTAGGGAGCCAATACTGATTTATTCAAGGCCTTTTAGTTCTTTAAAAAAATATAAAAAAAATTTGTATGCACAATTATGTGTGTTTGACACTCAAAACGATCTAATGAACTGTTAAAGGGTTCAAGAGGCATGAATTCTTTTGCGAGGCACTCTACTCTACTGTGTAAATAAGAGCAAGAACCTGAGTCTCCTTTTCAACTTACCTGATACCTTATTGCACTAAAAGCAGGGATTCATATAATTTCTAGTTTTACACAAAGACCTTTAGATAGAATAAGCACCATGTTGGGTAAAATGTTCTCAGAGCAAGATGTTAACATGTGTTTTCATTAACTTTCTGCCAGGTATGATGCTGGGAGGTGGTTGTGGCAGAGAGCTTGCTAAGTGGATCATACATGGCCGCCCAGAAAACGACATGTATGGATATGACATCAGGTATGTATGCATATATTAATAAGCTTCCCATAGCAAGAGCAACACCTATAGATGGCATGTATTAAAGGGTGTCTGATTGTAACGTTTTAAATCAACATTCATCATTTCATTTCCTCTCAGGCGTTTTCACAGTTCTTTGACAGACAACACACGCTGGATCAGAGAGAGGAGCCATGAGTCATATGCAAAAAATTACTCTGTGGTATTTCCTTTTGATGAGCCACTGGCCAGCCGTAACATGAGGAGAGACCCGTTCCACGAGGTAGAGCAATTATACAGAGTATTTCATAAGAACTAATTGACTGACCTGCAACTTTTATTAGCAGTCCTTCTGCTGTGATCCTGCAGACATGTTAACTGAGACTTACTAAGAGCTAATACAATACAGCTTTATTTATAAAGATTTGGAAAAAATACCTACATTTACAATAAAAAAAAAAATGTTATTTGTGTTTGTTTTTAATTAAAAACTAAATATAATTAACATAGAACCAGCTCCATACTGAGCTGGAGAAAGCATGCAAACAGATCATTCCTGAGTCTTTAGCCCCTAAAGAGAAGTCTCCATCTCAACTGGAGCCTGATTCTCGGAGCTGACAAAAGTAGAAAGTGAGCTGACATATTAGAATGAGATTGCTGTAACCCCTAATCTAAATGGTCACTGCAAGCTCGAAGTATGTATTCCGAAATCCCATTGCTCCAACAAGATGCTGAACAATCACAGCGTCCAGTTCACAAATAATAACCATATTTGCTTGAAAATCTTGCTATAATATTACAGTTTAAAGTATATTTTCATACATTTTTGTGTATTATTAAGCCCTCACATTTGATCAATTACTCACCTGTATATTTTAATTTAGGTAATCAAAGCCTAATCATTTAACACTAAAGGCATCTATATAAACAAATAAATGTGGCTTCTCTATAATAACCCATTGTAATGACTGAAAATATCTGGATGCCCAAAACAAAAAGTAGGGAAGTTTTATACGTTTTAAAAGCATTTAGAGGAGACGTTTGCAGAAGAGCAAGAAAGAGTTGAGATGAGCTGGACAAAGTGTACATTTTGGGTAAAGCCTCTGGGATCTGCATCAGTTTAAAGGAGGTATGAAACTGAAAATACTATGCTTTCTTTGGACTGGAGGAGAATAAAGTGAGAAATGACTGTCACCACTAAGGACCCCTGTGGTTCTCCAGATGAGACGAGATGAGAGATGCTTTGCAAATATAGAATATGTTCTGTTCTGGACACATGAAATAAACCACTGAAGATCAAAGACAACAACATCAACACATTATTCCAGATGGTCCATAAGGATTTTATGGTTTATAGTTGCTATGAAACAATTGAAAATGTACAATTGAACAAATGATATCTGGTTAGACTGTAAATTCGGTGTTTGTGTAGAGGGAAAACAGTTTTATAGGCAACTTCCTTTACTGTCAGTTTGGCTCTGACTGACAGTGATGAAAGGCTTGCTCAGCTTAATACCTCCCTGGTTTAGTGAAACTGCTTATCTTGGATGTCAAGTTACAGTTTGCAGTCAGTTCACCTCCTTTCAAGCAATCTCTACTTATCTTTGATTACTTCCAATGTATTCATAGATGGCATAACTCACTTTCTCCTTTTTTGTCTGTAATTTCTGCTTGTCAATTGACACTGTCTCTCAGTGGGGTTTTCTCTTACATTTTATCTGTCTTCTCTTTGCCTCCTCTCAATCTCCTCGCTGATTCAAAGTGATGGCAGTAAGTGGTGTGACTTAACTCCGCAGCGGGTGCATTTGATAATGCATGACTATAAATCATCCTCTCAGCTTTGGAGACTTAGCCGTGGATATCTTTCAGCTCCTGGCTCATCACTAACTCAGAATGGACTTCCCCACCATGTGTTACTCATAAATGATCCACTCAGAGACACTTTTTTTTTTTTTTTTCATTCCAGAGCTTATTTAACTAACCTCGCAATATTACCCTTGTAGCATGAATTTTTAAAAATGGATAACGGTCACATTAGTTCCACTGGAATCTATATCTATATATGTCTGGAGCTTCATCAAAAATAATATTTATTTTCCTTAGCAGTTTGCTGCGTAGTTTTATGCAGGGCTTTTTCAAATATCTGTTTAGAATGAGAGCAAATTATGAGATACAGTGGGTATTGATTAAAAAAAAATATATATATAATTATGTATAAAAGATTGGTTTAATATGGTATCTTGGTTACATAAACAGTTGAAACTGTAATTTTATGGGCATCCTTTCAAATTTTAACCTTTATACTCTATCCATGTCTGGATAGATTTTTACATACAGCCTGACTGGAGCAAAGAGGAACACTTCTATCAATTT